AAGTAAGTGGCAGCTCCCCCCCCCCCCCCCCCCCTCCCCCACAAAAAAAAAAGTGAGGCCCACGCAGAAAGTGAGGCCGAGGGTTACATCCGCGCTCGCTCGCAAAGGCGATCGTATCTCACTGACGCGAGGCAGCGATACGCGACACCTGTGGCATCCCTTGCCCGGTGTAAACATAACCGGCAGCGCGTATGGCAATGGTAAACAAACACCAGAGTCATTCATCCTGCAGATGGCACAACAGCCCCTCCTCTCGGTAGAGCAAATACGGAGAACGAAGGAGGCGAGGCGTGTAGATGCAAGGTAAGTGAAGAGGATGTTAATGCAGTGCTTGCATACTACAAAACGGGCGAGCTGGAAAGCCCGAATAAGGAAGATGTTGTGCGCGTGAAAATCAAGGGAGAGACCCAATGGGTTCCAAAACACTTCATGACCCGGTCCCTGCGTGAAGCATACGGCGTCTACAAACTTGCCGACCCGAGCTTTGCGATTGGTCTCACAAAGTTCATATCTTTGCGATTCCATTGGGTCACGTGCTTGCCACACCGGGAGGTGTGTGGTTGTACCTACTTTGCCAAGTTCCAGCTATGTCTAATGAGGCTGGAAAGCACGATAGGGGATTAACTTTCTGCGGAAGATGTTCAGGCTCTCTGTGTATGTGCGCAGCCTACTTCCCCTTGCTTCCTCGGAAAGTGCGACCAGTGCCCAAGAGCGAAAGACTCGACATTGGACAAATTCGATATTGGACATGATGAGGAGGTAGTCTTCGCCACATGAGAATTGGGGAGTTAATTAAGAAGACACTGTAGCCGCAGCTTTTATCAAGGAGCTTCAAAAGACTGTGATAAAGTGGATCCCCCACAACTACCTACGACGCGTGCAAGCAACGACAATACATGACGAGAGGCAGGCTTGTGAAAGGGGTGCTCTTGTTTTCCACTTCGACTTTGCCAAGAAATGGACCGTGGTGCTTGCGGACGAGGCACAGGCGTACCACTGGCAGAAGCAACAAATCAGCATCTTTACGCGCATTGCAATGTCAGGAAAGTCGACGCGGAGCTATGCCACTATTTCCGACGATCTAACTCATGACTCGGCGCATGCATGCTTGGCCGTGTCAAAAATTAATGCACACCCTCGAGGACAACGCACCAATCTACTCTCGCTTCACTTACGTTAGCTATGGAGCGGCCGCCCATTTTAAGAGCCGGTACCAACTTCACTAGTTGCATTGCAGTGAGCTCCAGGCGACGAAGTGGGTCTTTTCGGCAACGGGGCACGGCAATAATGCATGCGACGGGGTAGGGGGGGCTTGCTAAACACCAAACCTACGGATGGCGAACTTGAGGCATTTCAAGAATAAACAAAACTAGAGTGGAAGGTCGGCAAGTGGGTGCCTGGAATCCGGTCGCTTCACATGTGTAAATATGACAAATTAGATCAGGAGAATTCCTTGTACGTTGCACGGAGCGCGGACTCCATGTCGAAAAAACCCTGAGTCCCTTGAACCTGTTCTAGTATATTGCTTGTGTCACAAAATCCGGCTGCACCACGATATATTACAGGCTCCTCTCGTTAAATTACCCGAAAACCGACACAGTTTCTAATATTTTATGCCCTTCAATATAAACAAGACCTCGCGGGAGACAAGCGGTTCGGAGGTCTTCCTGCTCCTGGTTTTGTATATCGCGCTTTCAACCACGTTCTTTTCGTCTAGCACTAAACGCGACCTGTGTTTCAACACTAAGTCTGCTCTGGACATGGAGCCCTGATATTCGATCTGCGAAAAAGTGGATCGAGCCCGTGAAAAGCAACGGTGGCTGGCCAGGTCCATGCAGGGGAAGCCTCCGCAAGAAGTGTGCGTGTGTGTGTGCCTGTGTGTGAGTGTGTGGCTGGCCTCATCAAACTCCCCACTAGCCCACCGTGGAATTCACCGGTACTACCCCCTTCGGATCGGAGAATGCATCGGAAGAGGTCATAACTCCCGGACAGTGACAGATTAAACACTCCCTCCACCCGCTAGCTCCTCAGTGTTGCAATCAAATTGGTAGTAATTCAGAATTTTAGGGGTTCAGTTTTCAATTGTCTAGTAATTGTTTTCGTCTCTGTATTCGCTAGGTATTTTTGCATTTTGCCACCCGCGCACCGGCAGGGTGAAGGGCTAAGGCTTTTTATTGCCAGATTTCGGTGCTTGTGAACACCATTATATTATTTCTGTTGTCTATTTAAATCATTGTTTTAAATAAACCCCCGTTGTTTTAAAACATGTGTTACGTCCTCTTTATTGGCAAGACCTCACCGCGATATAGGCCGGTCGACTGATCAGCAGTTCTTTCTTTATTTTCTGTTTATAGTGAACCACGAACCTGTGCGCGTGCGACGGTTTACGGCATTAGGTGTCGGCGCTGGCTGATTCACACCAAGTGCGTTCTAATTGTATATAAACATATGCAGGTTTTTGCACTCTATGACCCTCTTGGATTTTTATACAAATATTTCCCCAGATCGATAACTTTCTAGCACCCCTTGATCCAGTAACAGATTATGACTTTTCTGACTGCGGATGAGCCGTCGCAAGAGATCCTGTTGGAGCGACTTGAGCAGCGCCAAACGCACACGTGGCTGTTGTTTTCGACGCTTGAACCGCCTTTCGTATACCTAAATACCCTCTAACACATCTTTGATTTCCACTCATTCGCCATTGTTTTTCAATATGCAAGCTGTTATCGTTCCGCTGTTTAGACACGCCTGCCATCGGTCGGGGCAGAAGTTTCCGCAATTTCATTCATTTCAAGCGATGCCTAGAAAAATTAATCATACTATTTTGTCATCAATCTTTAGAGCGGTACCCAGAAATATGAATCAAATCATTTTGTCAGCCAGGCACTAATATTAAAGTACTAACTTTAAATGGTAGCACCAATGAACATCTAACCAGCCAAGCATAACATCCTAATAGGGATCGGACGCGCCGAAACATTCAGTCTTCATTGGCAATACCAGCCACATCAGCGATAAAACAAAGTTCACGTGCTATTTTTAGAGTGCTTCGTGGCGCCTGGACATTACTATGACCAAGCACGGTTACTGTGGCATGCGTCGCTCGTGTACCACTAACTAGTCGTTAAGACAGAAACGCCCCAGCGGTAATTGATGCGACCACGACCTGGCTGCTCATTTATTTTCTTGTTCTAAAACAAAAAAAGGCATCATATCTTTCCATATTTTTAATTACCGGTCATCGAGGGCCCAATGGGTAAGTTGAAAAAAAAAATCGAGAATGATTGTTTTTTAATTGTCGCACAAAACTCGAAAAATATTGACTTTTTTTCATTTTGACGAAATTTCCGGGCGAAATGCAGAAATCAATTACAACAGTAAAACGTTAATTAATTTGTTAGAAGTTCACAAGGCATAAAGCACGCGAAACAAAAAGTTTCAGCTTTAGGATATAGATTTAAAGCGACTTAAAAATTTGCCGAAAAATGCCTCATTATGTAAGATTCGCTCCAGAAGCCAGGTTTGGCACTTTATTTCGCTTGAAATATATGATCATATCAGTTAACTTTAATTAATTCTGGCAGTAAAGCATGTGTGCATTCAACGCAAAAATTTTGAATGTGTAGAATTTTGCACTATTCATTTCTCCAGCCTTCAAAGATGCGTCATCGCGCAGTTGGGAAAACCGTTTTTTCAACCTTCTCTCGAATGCGATTTTTCTCAGGAAGACAAGGAAGTATCTTGAAAAAGTAAGGTCTGTCCCGTTGTGTGGACAGGCTTACCTAAATCATATAAAAATTTAATTAAAAACAAAAAATAGGCATGACTCCACCATGACCGTCCTTCTCTGAACACACCCTACCCTCTTTTTTTTTCTTTCTTTGGCGGGGAGGGGGGGAGGTCCAGCTGGGAAGCGTTTTAGTTTAAGGAGTAGTTCTCGGTATTTTGTTGAGCAGTGCCACCCACGTGTGACATTTCTGGTGTCCGTTTACACACACTTCGGGCTTGTTTCCGATTTTCGTTTCCTTCGTCGTTATCCTGGTTTGGGCTCAATCGACTTGACACATGTACAGTGCCCCTCAAACTTAACGCCGCCACTTGGTTTCGCAAATATTGATCCATTCAATTTTATTGCATGCTACCCAAACATTAATTGATCGCTGCAGCTGCTGGAATACCTTCCCCTGGTTAAGTTTTCATTGGGGACGCAAATCTTCATAACCATTTTGACTGCTACGTTCAGGAATACCTCAAAAAGTGAAGAAACCGAACCATCTCGTGGCGGCGTTAAGTTTGAGGCGCACTGTACATGTGTCTTTCTATTTTATTTTATTTTTCTGGATCTGGAGCTTTAACTCCAACCTGACGGAGGACTTTGCCTGTGATATATTTTCTTGGTTTCTCTAACGAGGGCCGCGACCGTGTTCACCTCGGTTATACTATTTTTCGTGTGCGTGTTTGTTAGAATGTAGTTTTTTCATGCTCAAATGTTTTTACTTGTACTATTATACATATAATATTTTTCTTTTGCCTTTTCCAATGTTCCACCTCTCCTTTGGTTTCTGTAAAAACGCTTTGCAACTGTATTTTCTGCACACTTGAAGAAGGAAGTCTCTTCCCGAAACGTCATGTGATAAAGCCTATACTGCTGTTGAAACATTTTTCAACGTTTACGACTTTCTTGGTGAAGACTTGTACATTAATACGGTTAACTACAAAGCTTTTAAAAAGTGACTCTGCCAAAACGGTAAAGCGGTACTTCAATTTTGCTTGCGCATCGCAGCATGTATTTCCTTGCTCAAAACGACGATATATTGTAGAAACGTCGTCTGTCTTCTATACAGCATAAGATATCATACTTAAACATATGGCAGTTCTAGCGTCTGATAGGTACCTATAATATCAGAAACCTACTTGTGATTTCTTTCATTGATTCCACATAAATTTAGTCAGTTATGAACTGAACAAATAATCAAAATGATTCATCTCACTACTTATAGATACTCGACCTTAACAGTGGAGGTTCCCTCGGCCCGCATCAAAATGGTGAGATTGTGGTTCAGAGCAGAAACCTCATGAAAAGTTACTACAACCATCTGGAAGACACTCGAGACGTCTTGAGCAATGATGGCTGGTTTCGAACAGGTGATTTAGTTGACGTATTTCCCTTTATTGCATTTCAAAATTATCCACTGGTCCCAGCCCATGTGACGTCTTACGTTTGGGATGCTTTTTAGTGTATCAGGTTTATTTTTTAACACTGTATTACGCAAGTGGTGTATTCACAGACATCAGGTGTTTTTAACTGCCTTGTGTAAGCCCTTCTTATTTCTAGGTGTTAAATTAATCTACCAAGTGTATTAATTGTTCCACTTCGTTTTCGAGCAGCCCAGTCTTACGGCATTTCCGAAAAACCGATGTTTTATTATTCCCGGCATGCTAATAAGTATGTCTAAATTATAAATTTCTGTTGTGAAAACGGCACTGAAGGTTACGCCAAAACCAGCCTTCAAATTTATTCGCGCTATCCAGTGGGGCGACGTCACAGATTAGATATCTTGGAGGTTGAGCAGGCAGTCTAAAAAACGCGATTTTTATCCGAGTTTTTAAGCGTTTATTTAAAATATTAAACTTCTTGTAACCCTTTGAATTCAAGCTCTACTGACCAATTGTGCAACATTCGACGTCACGTTTTCAGTACTACCTGTAGAGCCTCTCAATTATTTAGACAAAAATTTAAAATACAAATAGTTTGCAAAAAAACATCATTGCCACTTGTAATTTTTTGTTGCTGGTTCTGATCTGTATATTAATCCGTCCAATCTATTTTGAGGCAGTGACAAACCAACGTTCGTCGGAGCGCCTCTTAACCTAGGTGGCCATATAATTGAACTACAGCGTTTCTAAAGTTTGAGCTGCCTTTTAAAAATGGCTCAGCGTTAATACTCGTAGAGTGTTTTAGTGGATCGTTTAGTCGCTCCCACTGTGCTATACACAATCCGCTGTGACCTCAGTTATACGTAGCGTAGCGGAACCGCAATTTCCAGTTTTAGTGGAACGTTCACAACTCGCTACAGATTACATCGTAACGAAAGCTAACGCCACTCCATTAGCGGCTTTTTGAAACTCTAAGGCTTGCGTAAAATAAATTTTCGTAAACCAGATTCTTGTATCTTATTTATTAACGTCCTTACTTGAATAGAATATTGTTGTTGCGATTTTTGTTTTGTTTATAAGTAAATAATTGTTATGTTTGTAATTGAATGCAAAACAAAAAAGTCGATTCGACATGAGTCAATCCCCAGGGCCATGAAAAGAAAGCTTCAGACATAAATGACAACCGTAGTTTTTCTATTGTGTCCATGCCATGGGTCTTTCCTTCACCCTTTCTCATTGTTCACCGGAAATGAAACGACACAAAAATTACCCGGATCCGGCTGCTTGCTCGTGTCCCTGGTTGGTTCTGTCCTCACGACGAAAGCGGTCAAGGGGGAGGCCGCACCCTTCGCTCACAGCACAGATTGCGAAGTTTTTTTTCCCCCGTGGCCGTATTTAGCGCGTCCGTTATAAATCGCTACTTATTGCAGTCCTGGAATGGCTTAGTCGCGGCTACTATTCTCAGCAGCAAGACATAGCCCGCCATTGAGAACTGAGATCACGAGGCAGACAAATCGGACGGACACCGCGTGTCGGCCATCTTGAATTACCTCCCCCACTGGCTCTCCAAAATCTCGCCATCTCTCGTTCTCGCGAAACTGACGCTAAGGCACTGCGCTACGCGAGCTACTTTTCTCGCAATTTTCGTAAAACAGCGCGCCTTTCCTAGCTTTGGTAGCTCCCCTGATTCTCCGCTAGCATCGTGAACGCGGAGTAACGCCATCGCTCTAGCGTATGGTGTAAGGGGATTGCCAAAATGATCTACTAGGACTCTTCACTGTAAAGCGATGCAAGGCGCAGAGTTTTTTAAACATAACTTTTCCGCGGTGAATGTTTGCACTTTGTTTAATTATTGCGTAAGACTGAAATATTTAATGTGCAGATACGTCATTGAAAGATAACAGAAACGTGCGCGTTAGCGATTCTTTGAGAAATAAAAAAAAAAACCGGCTGAGGAATTGAAAATGGAAGACTAGTCGAAACTTTATACTCGTCGAACGAAACATATCAAACCATTCGTTGATTAAGAAGAAGTGTGACCTATGCGGTTACAGCATGTTTATTATTTGATATCCCGACCTTTTGATTTTGCACATCCTGAGCATAAAAATGAAAAGTTAGAACGGGCCTTAAAGTGAAATATATGAAGTTGTATCTTTATACGACGCTGATGTATGAGCCTGTAAGGAAATATGTATGCCTAAGGACGGCCAGTTCTTATTTACAGGAAAAATCTACATCGGCTTTTTAACAATGATTTTCACGTAGTGTTAAAACGTTCAACAAGAAAAATCATAGGCTACATTTTAAATGCCCCAATAAAATAATTTAAATTGACTAAATAAGTAAAATCGTCAGGGATAAAACGGGTAAACTCCTTAAATGTTAATATAATATACGACGTATCTGTTATATACTTTTCCACAGGAGATATTGGCTACTATGATGAAAATGGACAGATCTACATCGTAGAGCGGCTCAAACAGATGATAAAATGCATGGGAAACGTAGTGACTCCTGCCGAGCTGGAAGATATCCTGACCTCGCACGAGGCGGTTCTGGAAGCCGCGGTGGTCGGTATACCGAGTCTCAAGTACGGCGAAGCCCCGACCGCTTGCGTCGTTGTCAGCGAATCCAAGAAAGAGGTCCTCGAAAGTTTGGAACGAGAACTGAAGGAGCTCATAGCAGGTAGGATATAGAGTTACTTTGTCTAACTGGTTCAGCCGATAAGCGTGTTTAGCAATACGCATTCCTAATATCCAGTATAAGTAGTTAGATTGCGATTGTCCGGCACAGAGTCTAACAAGCAAAAAACAAGTCACATTAAAGTATTGATTAAAAATGGTATATATCTTGGCTAAAAATATAATCACTCGATAAACATATGGTACCTAAGAAAAATTGGTTAATTACATGCGCACATTTGATTAGAGCACATATTAATTGCTTCTTTAGTGGTACGCACTTTCACCTATACATATCAGTAAGGTGTGTGTGCATTGCTCGCAGGTCAAACATCATTTCATAAGCATCTGTACGGAGGCGTCGTCTTCATGGAGACTCTGCCAAAATCGGACTCCGGCAAGATCCTGAGGCAGGAGCTGAAGTCAAGCATTGCGGCTAGACTTGTGCCATGTGATGGATAAAATAAAACTCGTGCGATAAGCACCGTAGTGAAACGCACCTTTCAATCGATTGTTTTGAAGCTGTTTCACATTGTTAACCGCGTTCTAAATATGTTCTATATTTTTGTCTCCTTAGATTACTATATGTGCTCGCAAGATTATATCGTCAAGAAAAACAAGAGGAGACGTATGTCAAACTGACCATACATGCTGAATGAGGCTACGTTGTGACTCCTTGTTCAATACGACATTTAAATTTCATTGTGAAATATGTAATGAAATTCCCAAGCCGAACTTGGTCGCGGATTTTTTCAATCGCGAAAATTTCGAGGAAACGCTCAAGTCCTACCGTTCACCGCTGACGGTAAAATTATCCTTAATGACCCATATCTTCACTCTTAGGAGCCAGGGTTTTAATTACTTGCCGCTTCAAGGTGCGGCTAGAAGGAAAAAATAAAAAGGTGTGGCTATACGGTTTATATCTTCCTTTCTATGTATGCTACAATTATAAAGTTAATGTCAAATTAAAGAACTGTTTTTCAATTATACTTTAATCTTTCCATAATACGGTTATTTTTTGTTGTTACTTAATCAGCTTTTAATAAACCACAGTCGCTAATATTGAAAAAAATATTTCTCGAGTGGTTACGTCCCACCGTCCACAATATGTTACGTGAGCGCTTGGTTGGATATAATGAATACAAAAACTGAAAAACAAACTGTACTGATGTTGTATATCTTTAAAAAAAATAAAGTTTAAAATGCTATTACTTCATGGTGTTATAAAAAAAGGAATCACGTCAACTAATCAAACTTACGTGACATTAAATTACGAAGCATCCTTCGATATTGCATTTTCCAGAACTTCCATATTAACCCTTTGCGTACCGTAAATGAAAAAAAAAGACTATTTAGACATACCGTTTTTTTATGCGTCACATAAATTTAATATGCAATACAAAGGACAAAAACAAATGCCCGAAAAAATATTATATGAGAAATCTTTGAACACGCTGCAAAAGAAAAGGGGACTAAAGTTCGGCTTCACTGCATTATCGCAGACAGTTCACATCACCTTGCACGCAAAGTGAACGCAAAACGTGCCGGGGCTGGAGGGGGGTTTCTTACATTCATTCTAGTCCAATGCCGACACGCCGACACGATGTCCGCATCGAAATCGGAGTCATCTGAGCTAAAATTCAATATTTTAGTTGCATCGGTCTTGCTGTCCGATGAAAGATTCATTTCCTCGTCTTCCGAATCCGAAGAGACACCACGATATCTTTGTTTTCGCCCCTACTTTTGAGCCAAGATCGTCACTATGAACTCAGCGACCAGAAGTTCACACCGCCATTTTGAAATCCCCTGTTGCGTGCCTTAGAACAATTTTCCGCCAAATTCAGAAGTTTACCACGTTTTTATTTTCCGTGAAGCGCCATCTATCCACGGCAAAGCTAACTAGAAACCCGTGGACGAGCCCAGCTCGTCTTCGGGGGGAGCGGTACAAACAGTGTGGACGAACTCAGGTCGTCCATGGTAGGGAAAGGATTAATATATTACACGTTAAGAATATTATTAAACCTGAAACTTTTCCCTTTCAGTTACGGCAAATTGCAGATTCATAATATAAAATACAGATGGCGACGCGTGTTCAAGAATAGCTTGATGGGCATTTGCCGTGTGTGCCGCTTGTAACACGACGTGAAAGACAAAGAAAGCGCCAGATGGTCAGGGTGCCAGACGCCTGGATGCCCACAGTGAGCGAGCCAGGGATATCAGAACAACAAGCGCGAGGCTACGGGTGCACCACAGCTGCTTTTGCGCGCGTTCTACTGTGCGTTGGTACATATACATGACGCGATCCAAATCAAATGGGCGCTATGACAGGGATTCCGTCATGGGGATTCCGCCACATATGCAAAAACATTTTAATGTTTTTATCACTAAGAAAAATCAATTTCGCAATCAAACTATGCGTGTCAGAATGGTTCGAATATATTTTGTTTCAAAAACTGCTTCGGTGGCTCTTAAGTCGCAATGATATTAAAACAAAACGCAAAACATCAAAATGTCTGATTGTCTCTGAGCCAACGCGCTGGCCATGAATCCATATTTATCGTGTTTCAATACCGGCCGCACTCTCAGAAAAAAAAGGTATATGCTTATACCCCTTGTCCGATATACGACACCCCAAAACTTCAGCTCGACGTACAGCGCACCGACGTCGAACAGACGGTCCCAACTTTTACGAGGGGCTTGAGAACGGTGAGATATACCTCATTAAAGGGCTAAAGTATGCATCAAAGGCTCTAAAAAGATACACACTGAGGTTTTGCAGTAGGGCCAAGAAAACCCCGATTACCTTTTTTGAAGTCAGCAACACGTACACGTTAGCTATTTTAATAAGTTTTGCCACTCGGCTATCAAGACCCTCTTGAAAGTTGGTACCGTCGGTTCGACGGCAGTGTACTGTATCCGTCAAACTCCAGTTTTGGTGTGTCGCATGTGGAACAAGGGTTGTAGAATATACCATCTTTTTCTGAGAGCGTGAGGTGTCCGCAATCTGACGGAGGCCAATCTGAGATTTTGGTTGCACGTCAAAATAAACCCGCAATTTCTTTTTTTTTTTTTGGGGGGGGGGGGGTGGGGGAGGGGGTGGGTGTTAGGTGATTTTTGTTGTTTTGGCTTGTATAACACTAAGATCTGAATATTTGCTTTGCTTTACGTTAGTTCGGAGCGCAGCCAACGCTACGGGGTGATGAAGCCACTGAAGCAGCGCCAATAGCGCGATGTCAGCCGTTAGTCCTCTTTCTGCGCCTGTGCGGTCGGGCTAAACTACACTCACTCAATAAGCTACGCTTCATGCACATCTTAATGCTTAAAATGATAGTTGTCAGTCATCTGAAGCTTTATCTGAAATCACAGTAAACGCTCTTCCGTCCTCCGCAGATGTTTAAACAGTTCGCGACAAAGCGAATCAATATTACGTGAGCTCCCTGACACCGAAACCAGGGATGGGCAGTATTTCAAATACTTTGTGTATTTTGCATTTGTATTTAATTACGAATTGGATAATGTATTTGAAGTGTGTATTTAAATAATGAAACATGAGCATTTCAAATACAATTGTAATTAAATACAATTTTGTGGGCGAAAATACATCCCAAAAATTTAGTGTCACTGTCCAGAGCAGGAAGAAAACTACATTCTGCACCGAACGCATTGTCTCTCAATCAAGCACAAGCGTTTAGTGACTCTGTGATTACGGTGCTAGTCCAGGGCAAGAATAGTGACGAAATTGACGTTCACAGGCAGACTGGCTAAGTAAGTGCCTGTGACAACTTGTGATGCTTTCCAGCCTGATTTCTATCCATATTTTTGCCTGGAACATTCTAAATGCGCGGGTCGTCCAGATTTTCGTAACTGGTGCGAGTTGCAACAATAAAAAATTCTCTATCTAGTGCTGCGCTTGTTGGTCGTCTCGGTTCTTTGTTGGTCTATACCAAAATGTAATCGACAAAAAAAGCTGCTTGAAGCTCTGTACTTTTTTCACCTATTACGTCCAAGCTGATTACATTTCTTTTTGTGATTATATTTCTATTACATTTCTAGAGCCTCGCACACCGACTCCCGAGTGTACGATGCAAAATTAAAACGAGATACCCAGAAACCCGTTGCAGGTGCCCTGAAGTCGCTGACGCATATTTTGAGGAATGTATTTGGAAAAGTATTTGGAGGAAACCAAATACATTTGGTTGTATTTGCATCGTGTACTTAAATGCTTTTTTCGAATCGTAATTCGATTTGTAATTAAATACATTTTTTGACGAAGTATTTCGTATTTGTATTTCGATACATATTAGCATGATTTTGCCTATCCCTGACCGAAACTAATGCTGAGGAAGTCGCACTTTTGAATCATGACGATCGGGAGTTGCGTACGCTTTGTACTAACCACCAAGATGATGGCGCTCACAACAATATTGGGGTAAAGAGGGCCGATACGTTGAGCGTAGCTCATTCGGTTTAGCTCCCTAGGCTAAACCATGTGCGGTGGGGGATCATTGGCCGAGTGTGTTGTGGCACCGCAGATCAGAGAACGTGGAGAAATGCTCGAGCGCCAGCTCCGTTCAAAGCATGGAGCTCACGCTGCAGACCCTGTATGGACTAAATCTCCTTGATGTGTTTGCGTTCGTCTTTCAATTAACGTCAAATGTGCCAGTGCAAAGGGCCCGTGTCTCGAGCGGCCCTTCGAGGCAAATGGTGGCGCAGCCCTAAAATGACTGGCCCTTGGATGCGAATGGCGGTTGACCACCCGCTTGTGGCACGTGCCTTGCGCGTTTCCATAACAATGGTTGGCAGCACTTGTAAACAATATCTTTATCAAGGGGCTTTAGCAGGGACCCTGCCTTTCGCCCATTTGCATCCTACCGCCGTGCGATCGTGTATCACATATATTGCGTGATGCACGTTAAAGATCCCGAGCTAACAGTTGTACTGCAGTGGCTAAATTTATAATCTACAACAGGTAACAATGTCGCTCTAAGGAACTCCTGCTCTCTAATAAACTAACGACTATGTTTGAATGTGCCGTTACATTGCATTTTTAATGTGTGTTGGCGTGTTTGCTTTCTTTTTTCTTTTTTTTCTACATCTTTGATTATGTGGCTCTTGCTTATCACGAAACAAACTAGAGTTGTCGGACTTCAGGGAAAATATTATATAACTAAGAAAATGGCACGCTAACAAAAAAAAGATATAGGCGCACTTAATAAAACAACGTAATAATAGAATTGATTTTAATTGTGCTTTAAAAGGTTTGAGCGCATCAAAAGCTATAAAAGCGAGCTCCATACTTTGAACGGTGCGCTTGTTCACTGGAAGAGTAGTTCAGGGAAGCATGCTCGCGCTTGTATGTTCCATTTCGCTCGCACGATAAAACCAAATGCTTCACTGGTAATGTATTTAGTAAACGAAAAAGGGAAACCTCCTGCATACGAAAAAAACATTGTGTTGTGTGTATGTTTATACAGCCCAGAACTTAGTCTGCCTCAACGGGCTTAACTTCTGCAAATGTTCGATGCCTTCAGTATTTCACGTGATTACACACTTCTTTATCATTATTGTTTCCGTTTCCCCCTGCCATTCAGATCGTTCTCTTTTATGTGTCGCATGTATTAGAGACCAAGGTAAGCCAGGAG